GATTTACAAAGAGAGATTTTTTTCTGTTTTATATTTATTAAATAATAATTGTATGGCATATAACTGAATAATTATTTCGAATCTCATTATGTCAAGTTTTACATTTGATTAAAAAATCAGAGAATTAATCAATAATCCATAGAATTATTAATTATTTTCATATTATAACTATAGATATTACTATGGAGAGAATTTTCTTTCAAAATTTATCCTAAAAATATGTAATGATAATTGTGGTACAATACAATATTTTAAAGATTTATACCGTCATGCACTTCAGTAAAATTAGTCAAATTTATTTTATACTTTATTGTAGTTTTATTAATAAATGAGAGAGACATTTACATTAAAATTCTTCAAAATACAATGTCTCACGATTATCACATTTTCAGGGTAAACTCTAAGAAAAAATTCTTTTCGTGCATGAATAATTTTTTCAACTTGATAGAATACATAATTCTGCAATTATCTTTGTTATGGAAGAGAGATATTGTCAAACCGATGTTACTGATTTCGAGGATCTATCAATGATAAACGCTGATTCTCAAATGATTCCACGAGAGATGTGATGCATAGGCGCAAGTATTGATCGATCATACAATGTTTGTTTTAACGAAGAATGGAATGCGCATCAAAGGCGTATGCAGCGATAATAATAATTTATCTCAGTATCAATGCATATATGGAAGAGTGGAATCATTCTGCGAGAAGATTAAAATTTACTGGAAACCGGGTTATCTCTTTTCGACGCAAATGAGCATCGCGAAATATCAATAGCCTTTGTAAATTGGACATGGTTCCGAATTTTTCGTTACTCCCGTTTTCGTTACTTCCATCATTAATGAGAAAAATATGTCGGATTGTATAATCCTGTTCTCCCCAGTATATTCTATCTATACAGAAAAAAATTATTTTTCTATGACGATACGAGAAAAAGAGGAAGACGAAAAAGATGAAAATTCCATTGATAGAAATTCCAATCATAGAATGACAAATTAATTGAATGATATTCTATTTTAATATATTAATGAATTAAATGTTAATTTAAAATGTTTCAAAACATTATGCTTGTTTAATTCTTTTTTTTAAGCTGCGATCTAATTGAAAAAAAATTTCAGTCTCTTAAACATGCATATTTATTATATATGAAAGCTTTAAAATGTTTAAATGTAGATAATTTTACTTTATGAGTGTGTAATTGCAAGAGAAACAAACAAATAAACCGTTAATCTTACTTCATATGGATTATACAAATCAACAACTACTAAAAGTATAATTGTATTAATTAACTAATATAATTCATTGAGATTTGTTACTCTGTGATATTATAATGGATGCATGAATAGTCGTTTTCCCAATAAAAGGTACACAAATTAATTGCGTTAATATTAATTTGTGTAATTAATCAAAACTATTTTTGAGTTGGATCTTTCGATATTAATTTAATTATATTTGGTTTGCCCAATTATTAATAACCGAATTAAAAAAGCTATAAAATTTATTGAAAATATTATTGTCTATCTACTTCTTATTCTTTCTATTTCACGAATCGTGCACATGTCTCATGTACATACATAAGTTCTCGATCAATGCTTCGCCTGAACATCACATTTTATTAAATAATAAATGATAATCTGTATTCACACATTTTTTTCATTATGTAACGCCAAATTTAATCAAATTCTCATTTCTAAAAATATAAAAAAATCTCTGTAATTATGAGATAAATATTAAATAAACGTTATTATTAATTAAATGTTTTTGTGAATGCAGACTTATCATAATGTAAATTAAAAAAAACAGGAGTCTGAAGAAAGTAATTTTTAACGCATAAGATCCATTCAGACTCTCTCTAGATAGATGACTGTTTCATAGAAGGAGTTAGTTCTATTAGATTGTAATTACATTGAATTTTCTATTAAATCTAATAATATATCTGCGATATATCGCTATCAGATAAGAGATTTTCTTATCAAGAGAGTAGATACATAAATTAGGAAATATAAAGGAAACCTTGCTTTTTATAAACGTTTACAATCAAATTAATCAACTATTCCGTGAAACAGTCGCCATCTATTGCAATTAAAGATTGAAAAATAAAAAAATCCGAAAATATGTGAATAGTGGTGTAACTAGATGGATATGTGTGTTCTTCGCGATCCATCTATTCATATTATCTTACCCTACGCAAATATATATTATGAGTAAAAATATCCTGATCTTAGCGTGTGTATTATATAAATAACATATTGGTAAATTTCGTCATCTAACTTTCATCGTCCACCATTTTTAATTTCTTTTCTCCTGCTTTTCAGAACGTGATATTCACATGGAGATTGTCGAAATTGTTTCGCTTTTTACTTTTTATAATTACAATTGATAAATTTATTTTTACTTTCAACATTTTTTCTTTAATATTAAAATTAAGTAACTGACCTCCGGAATCGATGGATATACATATTCTTTACGATCACGATAATGAGGAACACGAAACGGATTCTCGCGAGGACCGTGATAGCGAAGCTATCGCCAATAGGTACTGCGACTCTTCCTAATCGATCCATCGCGAGACGCGCTCTTCAATGGTCCAGCAATTGGCCAGTTCGCTCGACCATGTGAAGCGGTTCGCATCCGACTTCGTTTCCCTCATTCGGTTTTTTATCCCTTTATTCCCCCCTTTTTAATATATGCTCCATTTTGTTGATTTAAAGGAAAAAGCTAAAGTGAGATAGGAATGGGAAGAAATGGCACTCATTAGATTCCCTCGCTTTAAATAACTTACCGAAAATGAAGAACAATTGATGGTTCAAAAATATTAACAAATGATATATCAATTAATTATTAATGATATATCAACTAATTTTTAGATTAACTATTTAGTTTTTATAGCTTGGATAAATATTATACTCAATTTATTTTTAATGAATAGAATATATTTGATCGCATTTTTTAATTCATTATTGATGCAGATCACACAATAAAATATCAAAATTCAAATATCAAAATACGAAACTTTCAGCGATTAGAAAAACGACGAATCGTAAAATAACAAAAAACAAAATGACAAAGCTGATTTAGTATCAGCTATATCGATTTCGATGTCTCTTTTAATTGTGCATTGTTCTTCATTTTTTGAAATATTTACAAGGGTTCTATTGGCGCCACGCGAGCAGAATTGAACGTTATTTCAATATAAAATATGATATATGTTTGCAATAATCAATATACAATAAGATCTTGTATATATTATATTATGTAAAATAAACTCGATAAAATATTTTAAGTCGTATTACTCTTTTAGTTAGTGAATTCTGAAAGTGCTTTCTTGTCAATTTCTTTTTCAAATGTTCCCTTTTCATAACGTATCGTTCCATATGCATTTAATATTTCATTAACAAATAATTGAGATCAATTAATGTGGTTCGTTGCTTCAGCAAGAATTGTGATAATCTTTTCTGGCAATTATCTCTCCGCCATTGTAAGAATGTAAAAATTAGTTCTGTTTTTCGCTTCATTAAACATTCACTTTGTTGAGAATTGTATTTGCCCGTGAGAAAATTAATTAAATTCCAATAATTACTTGCAATAATTCCTTTATTATGGATTTTACATCAACTGTGAACAAATAATTTTTCCTTTTACGTTTTAAATGTAATTTTTCTGATCGTCAAAGAATATGCTTAAGCACTGAAATTCGTAAATATAAACAAAAGAAGATGTTTCTCATTGAGAAGATATGGTGATTGAAGGAAAATAGTTTATTAGTTTTTTTATTCAAGATCTTTTAATTTCCAGTATTTTCAATAACTTCATTTTCAGCTGTATGTGTACGTATTTATCATTTATGAAACTATTCAGCTCTGCTCGCGACATATCCCGGGGAAATAGAGATCAAAGGGGTGGGTGCTCACGACAAATAGATCAAAGTCAATCACAAAAAAAAAAAAGATATATATACAGACACGACGCGTGCAGTACTTACTCGTTGTTCAGCACGCGGAACGATTTGGGCGACATGCAGTTGACGCTCCACTCGGTGTTCCCGTGCTCGTTGCATATCGTGATGGAGAACCTGCCATAGTTTGCCCGTATCAAGTGGATCAGTTTTCCCTCGCCGCATTCGATCTCCAGCGTCTTGCCCTCGCAAGCGTATGCGGTGTCGTACCTCTCTGCAACAGAAAGCGCGATGCATTTTTTAGCCACTTTCGGCTATACACGACACGCAGTAATTTGCATGCAACTGCACGCACGCCACCGCAATGTACAGCTGCAACTCGTGGTGAATTGAATGTAGCGATTATATGCGCGCGGTCGAACCGTCGCACATAGCCTCTGACGTCTGTTGCAGCATCCACAACAGATCGGTTTCCGCTTCCGGAAAACTTCCGTATGTGCGAAAATCCTGGAGGATAGGAATACGTGTTTACTGAGGGGATTATGTAGTTGCGATATTTAATCTGTTCGCATGGCTGCATTTTTGCGGTTTATATGTTGGTTAACTTGTGCAGAGATTTCTATCTCCAACAAATTTTGCATTCGGATTATTTCCTGATGTGAAAAGAGTTTAAGATAAAATATATTTTATCTTTTTTTCTTTTTGATGAATTATATATCTTCAATTTCTGTTTGAAATATTATGTGGAAATATTTAATCGCAAATATTTGAAATTTTTTATATTTTTAATGAATTTCGAAAAAACCTAATTTTAAGTTATTTTCGTTTCATTTAACAGAAAAAATATGCCTTTTTTCTCTTAAAAAGCATTTGATGTGTTTTTTAAAGTACATATTCATTTTTATAAGTTCATCTTTTATGAGATTTAAAAATCCAAACTAAGTTTTAGAAGTTTTTCATAATACTATGAGGATTAATTCCAAGTAAGATAACAGTAAATTCGATTCGTGGATAAAAAAATCTTCCTTTCTTTTAAAAACTGGCTAATGTAAATTCAGTTTATCAACACATTCGATGGAAGGGGTAAGGTACATAATATATGCATAATATTTCAGCGTGATGTAAACGCTTCGACATGGAATTCAGCGGGTAAATTCGCTGAATTTGCTGACGCCGCAGCATTTCCGAGGAAAGTCCTAACCGCGGACTAAACCAGCATTGTGGCGCGTCGGTACGGAACTAATGAACTCACGACGAGGCTTTCACGGACAGAGTTATTACACCACTCCCCTCTTGTCTCCTGCTCGCGCAAGCTGTTGCTGCCCCCTTTCGCTGTCTTCTTCCTTCGTTCCCTTCATTCTTCGTTCCCTGAACATTATGTTATGGCAATCATTATACCTCCATCTAAATAAGCCTATACCTAGTTTTATATACTTTTTTTTATATCGATATACATGTATAAGCTTAGATTATTGTTTAATATTTGAAATAATACGAAGGATCGATTATAATGAGTCCAAAGTTTTCTATTTGACGATATGAAAGATTCAATGATACGAGGACAAATTTTTTTTTAATGATAGTACAGACATAAGTAACATATAGGTATATTCCTTTATTGAAGTCATTAGTTGGCACATGTCCAGCCGTCATTATCGATCATTACGTAAAGGATCCCCGAACAAAAAAAAAAATTATCTCGAACAGACGTCTACTTGCAGAAAATCCGAGAACAAAGCGACGGCTGAGTAACGACGCGCGTGTTTCGCGGTAAATTACTGCGTGCGTGGAAACGATGGCGGCGGAGGTCAAGGATGCGGCGGGATTACGGAGGGCATACGAGAGGAGTGCCTCGATTTAACGTCCCATTCGCTCGCTACGTTGGCCGATACCGACTTCGAACGGCGCGGCGCCATGTTCTGCGGTGGTTATAGGGCCATTTCGCATCGTCGAGCAAGGTCGCCTCTATAAATTTCCGTGAATTCGGTTAATCCTGTGAATTCGGTCCAGGGAAGAGGAGCAACAAGAGCTTCAATTCCATTCCTTTCGGTGTCATTTACAATTAGTCCAAAAACTATGTCAAAGTCCCAAGTATTATTTTCATCAGTTGTTCGTAATCAAATTCATATCTTATCTTGAATTATCCGAATGAAGAAAGGTACATTGACATTTAAAATAAAAATGTTCGAGAATTACTGGAGATAAAAATGAAAATAAATTTAATCTTACATCTGCAATATGTGTATACATGTAAGTTAACTACATAAAAACATGTATTACGTGCTGGATTTAAACTTTTTTTTTCTCCGGATGTGGAGACAGAAAGCTTCTCAAAAGTAGGATAAAATATCGTTGTTGAATACGCCAGCGTATTCTTGATAAAAATGGCAGAGGGCTGAGAAAGAGGAGGCAAGAAAAAGATTTATAACACGAAGGCAATTTCTCAGCTGCCTGTTTTTGCTCTTCACATCGCGATTAACGCTCGACTCGCGCCGTTATTCTCGCTGCAGTTTGTTCTCCGTTAATTAAGCGCGTTTCGATAACACCGTAAACGGCAGGTAATCGATATACGGTGTCATCGACATGCTCGATTAACCAGGTATGAGATAGAAGCGAGCACCAGGCGCGACGTGTGTTTCGATCAAAACGATACTGCCATCGATTCGTCTAAGCGAGTCGTCTCTTCCCAATGAAGCTCGTCTGTTACATGCTCTTGTATCGTCCGTAAAATAATTCACAAGGTCGTTTTGCATATCAAATTATCTCGGAGTTAAGTTTTACTTAAGTAATAAAATTTTATTTTATAGCTTTTAATTTACGCCATCCTTCGAGAGACATATTCGTAGCAGCGAAGCCGTTCAAAGTTGGGTAACTTAGAGACATCCCAAGACAGAGGTGAGATCTCTTCGCGGAAGAGAGATTCGTTGGAGAGTTCGTCTTCGGTCCCTTTAAACACGCCCTAGATCCCAATATATGCGGTCACCGCTCGAACGCTAGGAAGACATCGCCTCTCTTGGGAGCGGTGAGTTTCGAGAATCGCGTTGTACATATATACGTAGATGTTTCGACTGTGTTTCACTGTGACTCACCCATGGCGGATGCGCTTCGTCAAGTTCGAAGCACCGGAAAGCGAGAGGATTCTCTCTGTCTCTTTCTTTGCTCGTTGCATTCGTGTAAATCTTCGGACTCGCGGCTGCGCTGGAACTCTCTCGAGAGTCCTTTCAGGCTTTATCGCTTCGTCCTCTGGAGCTCTCGATCGTTCGCCGCCTGTGCTGGGTACGCAGCTTTCGAGTTGGTGGTCGAAGTTCTTTGAGCGTAATCGAGGAGTTTGCAATTTTCCTCGAAGTATAGTGGCGTATTAATTGGTATTATTTCAAGTCTTCTTTTTGCGATATATATATATATATATGTGTGTGTGTGTGTGTGTGTGTGTGTGTGTGTGTGTGTGTGTGTGTGTGTGTGTGTGTGTATACACAATAAAAAACATAGTTTTTGTACTAAAAATTGTCTTTGTTACAATTTCTATGTTAAATGTTTAACATATCCAATTGTTAATTTAATATAATGTAATTATGTAATTATTTGACTATTTCCTGTTAATATAACATTTCTTAATGTTAAAATATTTATGATAAATATGTAAATAAACAAATAACAAAAATAATGTTTTTTTTTAAATTCTACGATGAGTGATTAGTTAAATCTCTTGAGTTAAATAACATTTTTGTTATTCTCTACGTTTGTAACTTCCATGTGTGTCAAAATGTAATTTATTTTTATGATTAGTTTCAACGAAAACATGTCCATATCAACGAAACACTTAGTAAATAATAAACTTGAATTAAATTTAATACATTTTCTTGAGTTAAATTATGTTCTTAATTTATCTAGATTATTTAATTAGATCTAGATTATTTAGAATTTGAACAACTTCATCATCTTAGATAATGATATGTTGAGTAGGCGAATATAGAAATGGCATCTATAGAAATGATTACAAATAATTCGCATTAATTGAACATAATTTGTAACAATGTGTAACATTATAAATTCAATAGTGTAAAATGTGCTAAATTTAATATTGTACAACTTTTCCATTTGTATATATATACATACATGTATAACGTTGATTTTGTAACAAATGTTTTTATCTCGGTTTTTACGGTTGAAATATTAAATATTATAGTTATTATATTAAAATTGAAAGAGTACTTATTATATTTTGCACAAATGAAAGATTAGATGTCTGTCTTTAGGATTTCTTCTCGCATCTCTAGGATTTCTACTTTAGAATAAAAGTTGTAGCTATGCGGACAAACGAGGCAAATGTAACGAGCTACATTCAACTTGGCGTAATTCGTTCCAACGCGCAATGTCGAGCTCGTCATGAAAATTAGAGCCCGACCAGAACAAACACATTTGAGCTCACCCCGCTGTTGAATGAGAGAATTATTGCACAGCCCCGCATCGTTGTCGAAATGCCTTTTTCGCTACGTTTGTCCACCGCTACACCCGCCGCAGCTGCGGCTGACGCGTTATGCGTCATGCGGTCACTACTGCGACCGAACTTACTGCACGCGGATTGTTTCGCGGGTTGTAAAACGCGTCGCCACTGCGAAATCGAGCGGATGAGCCCTCTCTCGGTATTTAACCCGAAAAAGTTGCAAACTCGAGCGCCGGACAATGAAATTATTATGCGCCCTTTTAGCCGCACTTCGCCGATGCACTCGTTACCAATGCGAATGCAACCGACGCGCGTGCGTCATGTGACCGCGGTTAGGACGCGTACGATTCAACTTTGCGTGTTGTTTGACCAATGTATCGTTTAAGTACATCGTTTACGTCATAAGTATCTCGTTGTACATTTTAATTAATTATTATTACATGGTTGTAAAGCAAGGTTGTGTACTAATCTCGAATATACTTGGTTACGACTTGCTAGTTTATAAATATACAAGTAATTAAAAACATTATTCTAATACAATTGAATTATGTTACAAATATCTAGATTTATAGTACCTAAATTAAGAATGTTGATATTATGAACACAAAGTAGTATTACCAACTTCCTTTATTTTTTTCTAATTAGAGAAGCATTTTCTAATTATATCATATTTATTTTCTTTACTTTACTGGTCAAAAATTGTGTGAATTATTTAAAAGTCGAACTTGTAAAATTATAAAGCAATGCCTAATTCACACAAATTACATTAATATATTTGTTTATAAGAGAAACATTAATTCTGCAAATGGAGATCTAATTCTATAAAGTAT